GATGGCGATGCTTTAGAAATGGTAGAAAGTGTAAAGCTATTAGGTCTTAATATTTCCAGTGATTTGCAAAGATTATATTTTTTTGGTTCAACTTAAAAGAGAGCTAAGGTTGCTCGCACTGATTTAGGGCTCTTTTACTCTAGTTGTATTAGATCAATTATGGACTATTAGAACGTGTACAGAAGAGAGCAATGTTCATCATCTGCACTGGTCGAAGCTATCATGAGACCCTCGACATTATGAACTTTAAGGAAATATCCACTCATTATGACGAAATATGTGAGACACTTTTTGACACAATTGTAAATGACAACAATCACCGCCTTTATGAGATATTACCTGCGCCGCACGAAACTACTCATTCGTTAAGGCGCACGCGAGCTCAGTTTTAACATGCCACGGTTCAAAACCGACCTTTTTAAGGATACGTTGATTATCTTTTCATGTCTTAAAACGAACGCAGTTTAGAGTTTCTGAATTTGTGTTTTTTAATAATCTTTTTTAGTATTTTTTTTCTTTTAGCTTCTTTATCCTTTTTAATAAAGTAGATAGACTATAATAGTTAATAACTACATCTGTGTAACTTTATGTAACGTAAATACCCAATTCAGTTTTGGAACTGCTATGTATTTATGAATAAATAAACGTCAAACTTTAAACTTATGAATTAAAGGCAAGGCTGATCGGACAGCGTAGGATGCGTAATTTATTTTCCCAATATTTCGGTTAAACAAAACTAACCCTCATGAGATGCTAAAAAGGCTAAGTAAGTTGTTCATGAAGTAACTTGAAATTTTCGCCAGTATTTGTAAGAAGAGGGCTAATTTCAGACGCATCTCTAGCTACTTCAAACGGCGTAAAAATCACATTTTCCCGGGGAACATGGGCCTGCATGTACACCTGTCTCCTAGTATTCTCCCACCTCTTACCGTTAAGAAAGAAGATGAGAGGAGGAAAATTAGAAACAACGAGGGATCTATTGCTTTATTGGAGGAGGGGAGAAATTGCGCGTATCTCCTGAACTTACCCGGCTACGCCCCTGATACAGAGGAGCTGGAGGTGTCAGGTGGTACCACGTAGATTCAAAATGTAATTGATTACAGGATCAGGTCTGACCTGTCTGATCCTGACTTTGAGTTTTTTGTGTGGCTACTAAAAACCCAACGTCAAGGCATTTCTTCGTTCTTCTGTCACTGAAACGGCCTTAACAGTATCCCAGCTTTCTTTAGTTTCCAAGGCATCAAGTTCACTTATAGCTACAGTCCCTAATTCTCTCAATGCTTTACTTTGCAGGCCCGTAGCATGGGGAGGGGCCGGGGATGCCCTTCCCCCTTCCCACCAAACATTTTTGCTCCAAAAAGTCGAAACATGCACGCATAAAAGTTGAAAATAAAAATTCATCTCCCAGAGCATTGAAACAATGATGTCTCTGCAGCTACGTGAAACATTTTCTGGTTTTAAGATACAGAGACCAATCTGATGGGTCCTTCGGACCCAGAATTCTCTACTTTTCAAATACAATGTGCTACCTAACATCTTTGTGCCCCCGTAGTTTCTAAACGCTTGCTTTGAGAGATCTTATCGACATGTCAAACATTTGGCACCTTAGATATCGAGAAATGGCTTAGCAAACGCCATTCTGTTTATCAAGCTAAAAAGGGCATTCGAACTTAAACCTGTTCAGAATCAGGCAATTTTATACAGCAGAG